ATATATATATATATATATATATATATATATATATATGTATATATGAACTGTCGAAGTCCGGAGTCTGCGCGACAAAAACTCGAGTCAGCTCGAGTGAGCGCGAACGACACGCGCGCTTCCCGCGCACGGAAACGCGCGTCACTTTGGCCCGCGCGACCGTGTACGACACTCGTCAAGGTGCACACGTTAATCGACGACACGTGGAACGAGAACAACGCGGAACCGTGAAACTGGACGACGAGAGAGAAAGAAATAGAAGAGGAGAGAACGAAAGAATACACAATGAATAACGTGAGTTACCTCGCGAGCGGCCGCCGCGACACTGAACGCCGCGGACACCTGTCGCCACTGAGGCGACGGTGGCGCCGCCACGCGGTCAACCCCCTCCCTATTCCATCTCGTGTACAAAGGACACCCTGAAACAACACCGACAACTGCGACAATATTTGCTGCTCTTTATTACCAAAAGAAAAATTGCTGTTTACCATTATCCATTACGTACAATTTCATGGAACAACGTAATCCGATTAAAAATAATCCATTGGTATTAATCGTTAAGTTTGTCGGGATCCATTAAGGATATATACTGCTGTTCGAAGATCTTAGGACACTGTTCGACACTTAGGACACTCATTTTAAATATTTAGTATTTATTGTGAGCTATAAAATATAAAACATTATTCCACTTTCCCAGTGTACTTGTCCTGAGATTTCTGAGCGTTTCTTAGAAAGTGAAAGTAAAAGAAATGTTTCGCGAAAAGCTTTGTTATAGTTTATTAATTTATTGTTTGAGTATGTTATACTTTTTTATATCTTCGACGGATTAATTATATCAAAAAAGTTTGAAGATATGTTAAGAAATTATTATTATTGATTGATTAATTAATGCGGAAGCAATTTAGACGATGACTTCTTCTTACTTTCGAATGAACCAACCGATGAATCACTACTGACGCAAAGTTAAATTTAGATATGCGTAGAATAATGACTGATTCGTGTTAAATATTTTTCTCACGTTCACATTTGGAGACAATTGCAAAGTAATTAGCTAGTATTATTAACGTTAGCTTATCATTATCCAAGGAAGTTCTAATAAACATTTTTCCCTCGGCTCTTAATATTTTCCTGTCGTACCTTCTTTTTAATTCCTACTACATATATACAAATAAAAACTTGCCAAATATTGATAACAAAATTGATAAACTTTTTTAACTTTAGTAAACTAAAATGAAATGCAATAAATTTTTCAATTTTGTAATTAATATAATGTATGTTGTAGTAAGTGAGAGGCTAGAACATAGTAGAATTGATATTATGAAAAATGACTTGTTTTTACTTATTGCTCAATAAGCATTAACTAATTCTACAAAAATTTTTATTACACTGCTCCAACTTTAAAAGAGCTGAAATACATCAAAGTAAATCTAAAGATATTACTATTCTTTTACTTTCCTGGAACAAAATTCAAACGTAACGAAGAATTGTTCAATTGACAAAAAAATTTGTGGGCATTTTCTCTTCGGAAAACTACCTCTCCCGATTCGACCAATTTGTGAGAACGTTCCCTTCCGCAAGGGAACTCCGCGGTAGGGAAAAGAATTAAGAAACAGACCGCGTGCCCGTTCCAATAAAAACGTCCTGAACAAACATACGTACATGTCGTAAACGAACTGGTTCCTAACTAAAAAAGCCAAAAATCCACAATATTATCGTCGAACAAACTTCATTTCAGCCAATCGAAGTGACCTGCTCTCTATGAAGTTCTAGACCTCGAGTTGTTCCTGCCTTTCTCGTTTTCTCTCTGTTTTCATTTCTCCGCAAAGATAGCTAGAGAACACGACGATCCATCCGGTGGTTCGTTGTTTTAGAG